TCCGAAATGTTGTATTAGGAAAATACAAATTAATTTGTTTAAAGCACATAATATTTACAGACTCCACTGATTAATAAGACTTACACTATTTTTATGCGCTTTGGTAATTTTATTACTATTATTATTATTATTATTATTATTTAACTTAATTGTCAGTCGGTGTTGAATATTTAAAACTAAATCAACCACCTGATGACTATAATTGTATGAAATAATTATGGAATGTAATTTTTAATGATAAAAATAATTTTCTTATGATTCTAGAGTAATATTAGAGTGTTTCACCATCCTATATTGTGTTGTCTGAATGAATTAAATAAGAGAACACACCTTGTTTTATGGTGTATCACCAATATTGTACTTATATTATTAATATTAATATAATTAAATAAATAAATAATTGAGTGTTTTTTTTAATATGAAATTATTATTTTGCACTTTGATTCGTACCGTAGTCGGTAATAAGGTAAAAGGTTTGCCTACGTGGTGATAGCTTAAACTGCGCGAAAAATTCATAGGAAAAACCACCCATCGCCAAATGTGTATATACGAGCTCTTTGGGTGGGTCGAGCCAAGGGTTGTGTCGTTGTGTGTCGAAACACACTTGGCAACGTCGTGGTCGTCGTCAACAAATAATCAATGCCTCCCCGCCGGGTGGTGGCCACCGCGACATTTCCCGGAACGCAAACCGTGTCTGTAGGAGGGGTGACGTTTGGAACTACSGCGCGCGCGGGATAAAATATCACCGAACTCAAATAATAAATTTCAATAAATCGTCGTTTTGCTCACGACGTAGGTAGTAGGTACACGTTAATTGGCCGCCACACGTCTGATCGCTACGACCATCCGCTGTCGAAACTCTTGCTGTCTTACTGCTTCCGCTCGCGTTTTGGCAACGTATTTGGTAGCCGTGGTGTCTATTTCGAGCTTCGTCGCGGACCGTTTTTATCTTTTTCCCCGTCGGTGTGGTCGTGACGACGGCGGCGGCGTCGCGCAGCGTGTTGTCGCGCGCGCACTCGCGTTCCCGGCCGCGGGGCGAGGACGACCGAGCGCGCGCGCGCCAATCCCGTGGAAAAACCCGTGCGCGCGWATTCGGTCGTACTATTTTCTATACCATATAATATAGTACCCGTACTGTACGCCGCCGCGCGCCACGGTAGTTGTACGACGACGACGACGACGCAATAGCTATGCAATATTATTATTGTTGTATGGCACGTTCCTCGTAAAATGACAACATTATAAGTCGTCGTCGTATTATCATTGTCATCATAAGAGTATATTATAATATTATATAATATGGCCGTATGAAGTCACCCGTTATAGAGGCGGCCGCTAGACACATAACAATATTATTGGTGGTGATCGCCGCGACGGTAATAGTTTTCGCGGGGTAGCGTCTCGCGGATTATATTCACTCGCGCCGCCGCGGGAAAACGGATTTGCGCGCGCGTTTCGTCCGTCGGTCCGGYGACGGCGACGACGATGACGATTTCGCGGCGGCGTCGACGACGGTGCCGGTCGCGTCGTTGTTGTCGCCGTGATTAGTGTTAATAGTCGGCTATCCGGGCTTCACGAGCGCGGCGTTTTCGGCGGTCGGAAATCGACGGCGACGACATGGGAAACTATTGTTCGTCGAAACAAAAGGACGGCGGAGGCGGTTCCGACGAGTAAGTATATTATTATAATATTATGACAACAATTTTTTTTTCTTGCCGTCTACGTATAAACGTACAACGTTGTAAAAAAAAAAAATGCTTGGTATGCGCGTTATACGTCGTTTAATTGTGATCAAGTCAGGTATGTACTATATATATAGGTACTTGTGCGCGTACAGACTGTGGCCAAAAGTGTTGTCGTTTGCGATATATTAGGTAGGTATATGATWGGTGCAATTTGGGGAGGCGAGGGGGRCTTGAGTATGCTCAGCAGTCCTGGTTTTGAAATTATCATCACCCTCTTGTGATGGGTATGCCGYTTGTGATAGTTAATTAGTACGCATTTTATATCGTATTAAATCAATACGACGATGCTGCAGTACAAAGTCATTTTTATACATATTGTGTGGCTTATTTATTGTCTATTAAATCAAGGGATGTGGACATGAATTGAGAAATTTCTCACACTGACTAAAAAAATTGCCAACTTTGGCAGCCCTAAAGCATTTAAATATAGTTTTTTGAAATAACTGTACTATACATACTACCTACGAGTATATCGGTACACTGCTGCCATCGTTATTCGCTATACCTAYCTATAAACAATAATAATAACGTAGTTTTAATTATTATTATTATTGTTATGGTACGGGGAACCGATCCTCCCTCCCTTTTGAGTGGGGTACACCGCGGAGAGAGGAAATAGTATTGTTTGGACAGCTGCTGCTACTGCTGCTGCTGCTGCTCTGCACTATGAAAATATAATATATAATATAGGTACACTTATATAAACGCAAGTGCTGACAACAACTATATCACTATATATAGGTATCTACTCGGGTATCTATGTATCGTTTAAAGTATTAAACGCTCGACGATAAGAAAAAAATTTGAAAATCCCTGGCCATCGTCTCCCCCCTCCAAAGTTTGCCTTACAGCTCGATAATTAATAGCGCCCTCGCTTTATATATATATATAGCGACCCCGTTGCCCTAGTAGCAAATTTACGATGACGTTGCGGTGTTTAAAACTGCCGTTAAAATAAACTATCTAAGGCTAGGATTTCTATGCATTTAAGTATAAATCCAAATACATTGGCTRTCAATTAGTCCACGACTTCACACGTTTCTATAATTGAATAGAAAAATTTTTATGATTAACATTTTCATCAAAATGCATATAACTATATAGCATATTAGTATATTACCTATATATAAATACTCATAGTTTTTTGATAGTTTATTTTAATAAATGCAAAATTGTATTTTATAACAATTTTGGTTAATGTGGAGCCCCCCCTCTAAGTGA